ATAAACGTCTTGGCCAATTTTAAAATAAGTGCTTTTTAATAATTTAATTTTAGAATTCTTAATCTTAGTATGGGATTGCCCCATCTTCCTCCCATGGCAGAGGTTGTACGTAGAGACTACCCTGTCATGGGGGATATGGTATGCACATAAACACATGTACGGATATAACAATAAGTAATTAAACATCAGCTCCCCCTTTTTAAAAGGTTATAAATGAAGTATATGCTCGCCCATATGGTCTCTTTCCGGTGGCGAGGGTAAACAAACCCAAACACACACACAATTAAAACGTGTGAAAAACTGCATTGACAAGGATGTCGTTGTTCTTTAATACCTGCTAGAACACGATTTAATTTGGTTAAAATTGACTTTAAATAGGTATATTCTCGTGTGTATGTGTGTGTACTTATTGTACATATTATCAAATAGTTGATGAAACAGGTAAGTATATCAATTTCAATTATTTTAGATAAATTAAACATAGCGTATCATTATCTCTATATTTTGTATGAAGGACATTCGCATAAATATATCCTACGCTTACCAATATAGTTCTAAAGGTATTCTATTATTGTTTTTTTTTTAAAAATTCAATATTAAAAAATTGTCAATTGGTAATATAAGCTTGTCAGAAAATGTGAAAATCTCGTCGGACAGGTCATTATATATACTGCATGCATTTTGAATATTATAAAATATAACAATGTCAAATATTTGTTGCATTTATTATTAGAATATATTAAATACATCCTGAAATAACAAATAATTACATATAAAAAGGAATATATGTGCTGGTCCGAAGTGTCTCTATCATGGTCCGAAATGACCATCACATGGTCCGATATGTCCAAAAATCTGGTCCGAAATGACCAAAAAATCTGGTCCGAAGTGTCTGGTCCGAAACGTCCGTGGTCCGAAATGTCCGTAATTCAAATGTCTTGGGTACGAAAGACTCGAGATCTCCAAATTACTTCGAAATTATTTACGAAAGTTTTAGTCCTCGGAAACAAATTGGCATCAATAAATAAACTTAATACGGGGAAGTCAAAGTCCGGGCCCGCGAAGCGGGCCCGGGCTTTGGCTTGCCCGGCTATAGACTACACGTGTATATTTAAATGAAAATTCAAATAAAAAACAATTCAAAAATATATAGAATTCTATACCTATCAATGAAATTTTCAGTGTCATTTCTAGTTAGGCGCCGCCATTTACAATGTAACTCAATGATAAAAGGCGGTGTATTCCGATAACGTAACAAATCTCAACTTTTCGGATTAATAATAATCGTCGAGTGTTCCGAGTGAAAACGGAAGTGGGTACATATAATACCGAATGACACCTTTAAAACGGAAAAATGAAAGGATTTTTTACCGACTTCCCCGTTCATAGGCTTTGCCTAATTTCATATTATTATTAGTCATCAAATTCATAACATATTATGCTTTATAACATACCTTATGAGCTTAACAGGCTGATAATTATGCTCGTGAAGTAGGTCGAAAAATATACCGGAAGTTGTCGGATTCATTTAACCTAATTATCGGCTAATTCAGAGACGAATAGATTATCTACATCTCTGGCTAATTCTATTTCAATATCCACTTTGCAATTATAAACTACAAAATTTATCCGATAAATAATGTCTTTTTCAAAAATTCTGGAATATAATACAAAAAAATGTGATGATAAGGCGGATGAGTAAGTTAAATATTGCAAGCCGTCAAGCACTATGACCCAATTAATTTACTATCCCATTCATAGAATTATGTGACCTTTCAAATTATATCCGCTACGTTTCTAATACCGTAATTCAAGCTCAATTGCACATTATTTTCAAAAAATAAATTTCTTGTCTCCACTTCTGTTCGCAATAAATCGAAGTTTTCAGAAATTCAGAGCACTATTTTTCACTCGCGGCGGTTATGCGTCGGTCATGGTCGGGTGATCACTATGAATTCAGCTTACCTTGATATGTTAGAATACAATATAGCATATAGAGTGGCGATGAAACGTCACAGCAGTGGGCGTTACCCTGTATGGTTGGAAATTTCGGGTTTGTAAGTGCACTAGTTGGGACTACGTCCAAACTAAAAACCAGTATATGAAATGTTTTTTAACAAAGTAAGAAATACTGTTACAGTAGTCTATTTTAACAGCAATCTTTCGTTTTATGACGACTGTACACATCTACTTTATTAAAAAAAGTAAACATCAACTAAAGTGGGAAAAAATATACAACAACTCTATTTAAAAAAGTACACATCTATTTTTGAAAAAATACGGAAGCGTCCTGGTGCCAATTTAACATGTTCTATAAAAATGATAGCTCAGACTTAGGAGAAAAAAAGCCTAATTAGGAGTTTATAACTCCTACGTAGGACTTATAAGTCATACATAGGTCTTTATTACTTACTCCTACGACTTTAAAAGTCGGTATAAACTCCTAATTAGGCTTTCTTTTATCTCCTGCGCAGAATTTATAAAGTCCTATGTAGGTCTCATAAACTCCTTATTAGGAGGGATCATTTTTTATAGAACATATTAACCCTTTCGCTGCCAGAGGGTTATTTATTTATTTATCACCTATTTGCCAGAAAGTTTTCTAAGAAATTACTATATTATTAATTAATATAATTATTATTATTTGTTATTAGTATTATAATAATTGTATATGTTTCCAAATCTGCTAGTATTAAATAATTATTGTCGATTGTCTATGTATTTATTTTTATTATTATTATTATTATTATTATTATTATTATTATTATTATTATTATTGAACACTTTCAACCGCTTGTACTGCCTGGATAATTTATAAATTTTCATGACGCATATCCATAGACATTTTTCTGTTATGAAAATGTGATATCGATATTAAAGGAACTATAATTGTAATTCCCGTCAAACTATTTATCTTCCGATAAGTAGCAAATCGATTATAGTAGTTAAGATGGTATTTTGTTGTTCTTTGCAATCACGTGACACACTTTATTCAATAACTACTTGTATGACACTTGACATCCGTAACGTATCAGTGGTAAGAAAGAGTGTTTATACCCTTTCGTAAGGAGATATATTCAACATTCCTAGAATTATCTTCCTTTTTTCACAAACAAAGACAAGATGCGCTATTATTTCCCGCAATATATTTTCCTCTCAACGGTTTGGTTCACCACATTTTAGTTTGTACAAATTTATTTTAGTTCGATTGTGTTGGAAGCTATATAAGTTCACCACACTTTAGTACATATTTTATACCATTTCAAAATATATATGCCAAAAGCATTATTAAGACAATAACGGTGTCCTATTTGTTATGAGAACAAAAGTAAAATAAAAACATTTTTAGATAGATGATTCCACGTAACATTAGACAAAAATCTACTCAAAGATTCCAAGTATGTCGCGCATTGAGCTGAAAATTGTATGAGGTTATACGAATAGATAAAAAAATACTCGTTTGAATATCTTTTTTCATCATAGATTGAAAATTGGAATTGATCTACATTAAACAGCTGCTGTACTCGACCATGAAGAAAATTTTGAACAGAAATGAAAAGTTGTTCGGAAATAATTTAGTTTCAGTTTCATACATACTTTTGTTTAAATTGAGGAACAATAGTTGTTCTGACTTCATCTCCTTGTGCCATAAGTGTTAAAGTTTTTAGATTATCAATGTCATTCTATCATTCTAATGTAAATTAAATTAAAGTGAATTAAATTATAGTTCATTCAATAATGTTTAAAAGCGTAGAACTAATTCTTATAACTATATGATTTTTTTGTCATTTACAATTAGTATAAATGAAAATCATTTTCAAAAGAAAGGAGATGAAAGCTCATGATCAGTGAAATCTGTTGAGTGTGATATTATACATATACTACCTTGTAGTCTCGCAATGCAGACAAGTCTTGGTAAGTCATATTTGCTTCTAAACACTGGGTGTAATTATTACTACTAAGTAGAAAATGCTTACCTTGACAGCTTACTAATATTTATGTGAGTTGTTCTTACAAAGTTATTGTGTATATGTTTAAGCCACTGTCGAAAAGAACGTATGTACTCTGTAAAATATGCGAATAAATGTAAAATTAATGAATATAGTAAGAATGTAAATGAATTCAAATGAAAATGATGATCTCCGTATATTCATCATATTTTTTATTCAAATTATTTAACGCGCTGAACTTGATATATCTGCATGATTTTAGGTACGGCGCACATATGATTATCATTATTGTTGATTAGAATATTTTCTTATAACATATTTTGATCATTTGTAAACAGTTGTAACAAGTCATATATATATTCTATACTTATAAGGTATTTTAAAATTTTGCAATTCTGTAGAGGAATCGAAAAAATAACAACAACAAACAAAAAGTATCTAATATTCTATATCAAATTGAAAGAAACAAAAGAGCGGATACTGCTTCTAAGACATTATATTTTCATTCTTGTATAAAATTTGCACACGAAGCTTAACATTAATGGAGATGAAAAAAAAATGCGGTAATGCCTAAAAATTTAAAATATGTAAGAGTGCAATGTAAAAATATCTGACTGCCCTTATGGTCTAAGCTTCTGCAAAACCATCGGACTCGGGTTGAATGCTTCCTCCTGCATCTGCAGATGTAAATGTACGAGAAACGCATTAACCCCTTGCCAGTATAACACTATACAATTCCTTTAATTGAAGGAAAATAATAATTATTTCCGTATCTTAAGTTCTATAATTATTATAAATATATAGAAATGCGCTTTGGTCTCATGTTTTGTTCATAATTACTTTATACGGACGGTAAGCTTCATTATCTCAGATGTATGATATGAATTAATACGTTTGACAGCGCATTACCTAGCAATGCTTTATCTGAATAACACATTCGGCAATCAATTTTATTTACCAATCACCTTAACGTTTTTACCTTTTCCTACCAATACAAAATCTTTTTTTTTGTGAATTATCAATATTTCTTTTTGTGTTTTATTCAGGTTTAAAAGCGACAGAATTCTAAACATTTCGAAGACTTGACAACAGTTACATTCGTTTTATGTCGCAACAAACTATGTCGAAACAAAAAGATATGGAGCTATCTCTTATTACAAATTCTGTTTTGGATAATTTGGGGTTTAGCAAGAAACAAATTATGTTGAGATCATTATGTATTGGTGAACGTTTCAAATTTATTCCGTCCTTTTCCGGTTTTACTGCGTTAATAGCTGGTAGCTCAGGTGAAGGAGTTCCGCTAGCGGACAGTGATATTGACATAATGAATATATTGAGAGATGTCATTTGTGTTGATACAGGGTTTGATAATCATGGTGAGTTAATCATTCTTGGGACTGATTATTCTGAAACGGCACCAGGTTACACTAGAGTAGTGTCAATATCAATACCAGATAATCTGCTTTTTTCACCTCTTTTTCATGCAATCTCTGTGTATGATACCGTAAGTAGAGAAAACTTCTTATCGAGTGAAAAAATGAGGTTTTTCACTGGACACAATCGTATATTACTTAATGTTCATCAAAGAAATGACATTAAAACTGATATAAATGGACCTTCGGTGACACTTACGTATTCTCCTTCTTTGCATAGTGACTTTGTAGATTCAATATACTTTTACGGAGGTAACTACCTACAGAAGTGGGAAAACAGGATTAAGATTAACGCATGGCCCTCCAGCGAGATTGTGAATGAGGTCTCTGAAATGGAGGGATATATTGTTCCTATTGGGGACAAACAAAGCGATATGCAATCATTGGAATGGAGAATATGTTACACAACAGCGGAAAAGAAATTAGTGTCAAGTCTTTCTGACATTCAAATCAAGGCATATGTTCTACTGAAGGTAATGGGTAAATCACTTTTAAAACCTAACTGTAAATTTCTTACTTCGTACATTCTAAAGAACGTCATTTTCTGGGTAATGGAAACAACAAATGTTTGTGAATTAACACCAAGTCACTTAGTATTTCTAATTCAGAAATGTCTCATTTTCATAAAACATTGTATAGTAAACAATCATCTACCAAACTACATGATACCTGAGAGGAATCTGCTTAAAGGTGTTGTCGTTGGTAAAGAAAGAGACAGCGTAGTGAATTTTCTTTCAGATTGTCTGGAAGATGGTAGCAGTATTATTCTCAAAATTCCTAAATTATATAATTGTATTTCATTAAAAATAGCAAATCCAGACATTTTGCTAACGTTTGAAAGATGGAGGAATCAAGTTGAACATTATTGCCTTATTTGTGACATCATCTTAGCATCTTCTATTACTAGTAATACTGATTTGATATTACAAATAGGTGTTGGCGGTCATGCTAGAGATTATGCAAAACGAATTTTTAAGAATTCTAGCGTACAGATGAACATTCTTCTTCTTGCAATGCCAGATATTATTTCCTTATTGTTAGCCGGAAAATCCCCTAAAGACATAGATGAGCTTTTCCGCAAAAGAATGAAACTCCTGAACATTTTATAAATTAGAAACAAATAATCTACAACATGTACAAAAAGTCATGTAACACATGCCAAATGATTATAAAATTTATCCAGTCAACGTCATACCAATGCCGACTGAGTGAGACTAAAAAAAGGATTGGAGCACCACACTAAATACCGTATTCCGGTATATACCGGACAAGGCGCTTAAATGATAAAATGATAAAATCTTGCTTTTTTACCCAACGGAATGAACTTTAAAACGTCTAATTCATCTTTTCACTGCGATTTATGTCTGATAATGAATGAAAAATGTAAAAATCGGCGAAAAAACGACATTTGAACGTTACCAATTTCCATGATATTCATTTTATCAAGTTTGCTGTCAAGAGGATGTTAACGATTATTCGCTCAAGTCGACATGTCTCTCTATTCCTTAAAGTTTGATAAAAGATATTGCTAAATGTATACATGTAAATACATATGAATAAATTGTATTAAAGGCATTAATTTATCAATTTATGACCATTAATATGACAATTTCATACAGAGTTATAATTGTTTTAACCTTTTCATTCGTTGCATATCTTATTCTTATTGTTGTATAAAACGTGTTTTTCCTTAACCTAGTATGCTCTGTTTACATGTATTATGGTAGTTTTTTGATTAAAACGATAAAAACCGTCAACTGTTTATAGTTTATTTATACTTTAACAGGAGTATTTTCGTTACAAAATAGTGTCATTCATAAAGTTCATGCTGCATGCTAAACTACTCAATTCAGGATGCTAGGCTTGTCTGCAAACTTCAGGATTATACAAAAAAAAGGCGGATACCTTAAGTAGAGAGTAGACAGGAACGAGTTTTTTGTAACCTTTAAATACTGACGTGAATTCGGAGACACACAGGTTTCAAAAATACATCAAATGTAGCTAAAACATTGTTTGATCGCTTATAAGTGACAAATTAGACATAACTATCAAGGTCCTGTCAGACACCAGTTTGATCAGTTACATTTGTTATCATAATTGAGGTAAACTCACAACTTAAGACTGCTTTACTCATGCAAAGGTCAAGGTCATACTGAAAGGTCAAGTGCTTAAAAGCCTAAATTTTGTGTCCGCTCCATAATTTTTAAACCGCTGAAAAGTTTTTGAAATAACTTGGCACAATTAATCGCCACTATGAGACGATGTGCAGAGCGCAATAATTGGGTTGCTACATCCAAGGTCGAGGTAACAATTAAAGGTCAAGTGTATTAAGTCTATAAATTGTGTCCGCCCCATAACTTTAAAATTACTTGGCAAAAATATTCACCACCATGACACAATTTGCAGAGCACAACATCCAGGTTGCTACCCCTAAGGTGAAGGTTCTCCATACCGTTTTGACGTTTAAAAGATTTTAAATTTTCTTGTCACAAATAATTACCATCGTGAGATTGTGCTTATGATAAGCATGGCACATCAAGGTCATGGTTTGATAAAGTCAAGAAGTACACATTCATGTTCACTGCGGAAGGGGATAATGTTGTCCTTCAGACTGCCTTGTTTCTGTAGGGACAGGTATTACTTGAATTTTTCTAGAGATAAGAAAGTATGCAAATAAATGTTATTCCATGACTAAGGATTAATTATAGTATAGCACTAAGGAATTATCCAGTTGTATTATATAAGATTTTCTTAGACCAAATATATTTTATGAATGCTCAAAATGTAAGTAAAAAAGAGATTCGACTAGAAATCTACATGTATTTTAAAACATTTGCTATTACATGCTTATTTTTCCTGATGTCAATTTTAGTAAATATAACAATTTTTATACGAGAAAGCTTCTTTTCTGATATTTTTTCTTGATGGCAGAAATGAATATAAATTGTGCAAAAAACTCGTTTTTAATTTTTGGTAATTTTAATTTATGTCAAAAAATCGATTTATGACACCTGTTACATATTCGGTCGAATGCGACACGTACTTCATACGAAAATGGGGCATAAAATGTGCCATATTCGGTTTGATTGAAAAATATTGACCATTAATTTTCAAAAATACATCTGGAATTTGAACTCGCTGCTGAATATTAATTTTGGTGAAAGCGAAAATTAAAAACAAAATCAGCTGATTATTTCCGCATATTTCTGTCAGTTTCTTACTGTAAACACGAGATTATCCATTCATGTTTAGATGTTTAGCAAAAAATGCAGAAAATCGTGGTGCTCTTACATTTCATTATTTTTTTTCTTTTTTAAGATGTGTGAAGCTGGCGGCCGCCGCGTGAAGTTGGCGGCCTGACAGCCTAGCGGCAGAAAGTTGGCGTAAAGTTTGCGGTCTAGCCACCTGGCGGCCTGAAGTTGCCGGTCTAGTGACCTAAACATTTAATGAAGTTAAAGTTTGTCAAAGAAATTTAAACGACTCTTAATTAGATTTAAAGAAATATATTGTCATTTGAAAGTTATACAAAAAGAAGACAAATTTTATTAAGAAAGTTTTTGATATTATAATTTATGTTAAGATTTAAAGACATATTTTGTCATTCAAAAGTAAAATAAAAAGTATAAATGACATTTAGAAACGTTTTGATTTGATCATTTTTGTGAGGTAAGCATATATTTCTGGAATGTTCACAACACATTGAGTATAAAGCGCCGGTTTGCAAATGGTGATTTCACATATTTACTTTGTCAATGTTATTTGCCATTGATAGAATCAATATGATAATTTGGCTCCTTGGTTTAGAAATAATGTTTTAAATCAGTATATGGTATCAGTAAATTTGTTTCGCAAAAGTCCTTTAATTGGTAACATGGACAGTGTGATATTTGAAAACTGGCTAGTTGCAAACCTTGTGTTTATTATAGAGATATATCATATAGAGGGGACATAGCATTTGGACAATTACCTGTGGTGGTGGTGGGGGGCAGGGGGAGGGGGGGGGTTCACATCCTAATGATGGGCAAGTGATAGGCACTACACAGAGTAACCTAGAAGTTTACAGAATTACTGGGAGTTTCAGAATTTACCAGAAAAGATTGGCTGTAGCGAAACATAAAAAACAATTACAAACATGCACAGTTGTCCGAATTCTCTTAAACGTCCGAAATAGTGGCGTGCTTTGATCGTTGATAAATTGGTCGGATTTTCTAAATCCATGAATGTTTATCATTATTTAACGCATGTTTGGAAATGATAATAGTCGTTTCTACTTTTTAAACTGACATAATATACGTACTCTGTGCAATTTTGCTCTATATATTGAACAAACGCTTACCCACGAGTCCCTGGATTTCGTGGATTTTGGCAGCACACCACACTAATTGAAGCCACAGCTTCGAATGGCCAGGGAGGATTTCATGGATATAGTGACTATTGTGGATTTAAACGACTGGTTGTCTGTAAAGTGAATTTTCAGCCTGACATTTGTTCTTGTGACATGTAATATGATCATTGGCAAATTCGAAAACATGGTTAGAAAAACATGCTGTTAATTTTAGATGTCAAGGCCGCCATTGTTTTTAAACAGCATGCTCGGTGAAAACAAGTAATTTTACAGGGGGGTACAAACTTTCAGCAATAGCAAAAAATCTACAAGGCCAAGCACCTATTTCTTTGTGATATATATGTTGTTTTGGGTCTCGGACAACTGTAGATTTTGGGCTTTTACGGAATGAATTGGATTTTTTTAACTGCCTGACTGTTGCACATGGGATGATTTTATTATAGATTTGCAATGTTATGACATATATGATCTTCACAAAATGTGTTTTCATTTTCCAGGTTGTGTAGTTTGACTCAGATTTATCAGACATATTGCTTATAGGCAGAAACCTGAAATTTAGTGTGGAGTGCTGCCTTTTTGAAGAGAATATTTCAACGTTTACACCATCAGAAATAACGGACTTGTACGGAAATGTTGGTTCCTGGCCAGATGTATAAATTTAAATTTCAAATGTAATTTCGTATTCGTGTTATTGCAGTTGGTATTCGTCTAGGTGCATTCGTATAGATTTTTATTTCAATGTTATGCAACCCACTTTATATTCTTAAAAGAAAGGAAGTTCAAGATCATAAGTTAAAACTAAATTATTCAAATTGAAAAGGAAGAATTATGCAACATAATATCTAATCACGTAGGTTAAACAAGAAGTAGAAAAAATTGATCCTTACATTCTGCAGTATCAAAATACAATATTTAACTGTCAATTAAAAAGTAGCAATTAAACTTGTTTAAATCAATTTAAATTTTTATGATTATAGATAAGAATTTAATGAATACGAATATCAATTAGATAAATGGAAATTGAAAGAGAAACAGCGAATAAATACCCAAATTCTGCTCCATAGGTTATCTAAAACTCAAATTTATACATTGAAAATTTTTGAATCAACAATAATAGACTTAATGTAGAATGAAATCATATTGCATGAACAATATCAAGTTCAGAAAGAAACAAGATTATCTCCCGTCGACCGTTTTCATAGCATTGAACAATAAAAGAGTTATTACGTCCCTTTAGGGCTTTGCTTTCTCAACAATAGCACTTTTACGGTAGAAGTAAGACTTTTGCTGTAATACTTTGTTTGAAATAATGAATGGATACGTTACGTCTAGCGAATCGACGAACAAATTTAACTTTTTAAATGATTACAAACCTAATGCACACGTTAATTAAACGCGAAATACGACCCCTGTTCTGTAATGATCTGCTAACCAACATGAACTTCATATCTCAGACATTTATATTTTAGTAGTAGCAAAGGGCGTAGGAGGTGTATATACCGAATACTTTTCTCAAGTAACTTTTTATTGTTACTGTTACTGGGGCTTTTATTTTATGTAAAAGCACTTGTTAAGTATTTTCTTTAATATAAAAGAGATACGCTCGTCGATTTTCATTTTCTGTCTAATACATCCCATAAAATATATCACGCTTTCTTTTAGATTTCTTTAAACATCTTTCGTTTTGTTTTAAATTCATCGAAAACTGTATTGAAATGGCCCGTGAATTATGCGACATTGGGCATGCCCGATAACAGAATTTTGCATTTGTCCTGAAAGCTGACAATCTTAGTTTTCAGATGATACAATTCATTCAATCATCGATGCGTTACTGTAGTCACAGCGACATTTGCTGCGCAAGTAAAAACAGAGCACGTTTTCGCACAAGAGCGTACACAGGAATTAAGCAAAGATCATTGCGACCCGTGTGCGTTCTAAAATAAATGATGTTTGATGGCAAAAATATAAGGATTCTCTCGTATCTGAATAATAAGTTAACGCCACAAGAGAGAACAGTGAATGGCACTATTACACGTGCAGCAATTTTGCAGACGACACATTTGTGTCACATGTGTTTCGCGAGTTTAAGAAATTCAAATGCTGTGTGAGATCAAGATGTGAATGATACGTCTAATAACAGTAGAGTATAAAAAATCTTGAATAGCACACTTTCATCAGCAATTTGCAGACGACACATTTTAGTCATATGTGTTTCGCGAGTTTAAGTTATTCAGATGTAATTTGAGATCAAGATGTGAAAGATTCGTCTGTTTCTGCGAGATATGTGAGTAACAGCAGAATGAATATTGAATGGCACAATTACAGGAATTTTTGCAGACGACACATTTGTGTCATACATGTTTCGCGAGTTTATGCAGCGAGATAATAAGGAATTCAATTGTTACTGCAGGATATGCATAGTCACAAGAAATGACAATTAGCGGGGTTCATCACCTTCATCATCATAATTATCACCATCCTCATCTCCTTATCATCATCACTATCATCATCACTATAATCATCACTATCATCACCATCATCTTCTTGTCAGCATCACTATCATCATCACTCATCACTATCATCACTATCATCATCATCATCATCATCATCATCACCACCACCACCACCACCATCATCATCCGTCATCATCTTCATCAACATTTTCGGGGTATTTGTGATTATGTTGCGGATGAATACATAGCCTTATTAAATCGTCTTTAGCGTATTTTATTAGTTTTGGTGTCCGGGCAACTTTTATGAATAAAGTCTTGCTCTGAGTGAATGGTTGCTTGTATTTGCATGTACTTCTTCAGGAAGCTAAACGTAATCTTACCATTTAATGAATTAAGTATTGCTTTACTAGATTGTTACAACAATATCAATATTTAGTAAGATTATAGCGCACGAAATCATTGTAAGAAATAATGGTAAAGTTTCGAAAATATTTTACTTTCCTTCAGTTACAACAGTTCAGAAAGAAACAGGATTATCTCCCGTCGACCGTTTTCATAGCATTGAATAATAATAGAGTTATTACGTCCCTTTAGGGCTTTGCTTTCTCAACAATAGCACATTTACGGTAGAAGTAAATCCTTTGCTGTAATACTTTGTTTGAAATAATGAATGGATACGTTACGTCTAGCGAAACGACGAAAAAGTTTAACGTTTTAAATGATTAAAAACATAATGCACACGTTAATTTAACGCGAAATACGACCCCTGTTCTGTAATGATCTGCTAACCAACATGCACATTATATCTCAGACATATATATTTCAGAACTAGGATGGGGCGTAGGGGGTGTGTATACCGAATACCTTTCCCTAGTAACTTTTTGTTGTTACTGATACAGGGGCTTTTATTTTATGTAAAAGCACTTGTTAAGTGTTTTCTTTTATATAAAAGAGATACGCATGTTTATTTTCATTTTCTGTCTATTACATACATCTCAAAAAAATCCATCACGATTTCTTTCACTTTTTTTCTAAATATCTTACGGTTTAATTTAGTCAAAAACTGTATTGAAATGGCCCGTGAATTATGCGACATTGGCCGTGTCCGATTGCAGACTTTTGCATTTGTTCTGAAAGCTGACAATCTTAGTTTTCAGATGATAAAATTCATTCAATCATCGTTGCGTTACTATAGTCACAGTGACATTTGTTGCACAAGTAAAAAAAGAGCCAGTTTTCGCACAAGGGTACATAGAAAATAAGTAAAGATCATCACGACCTGTGTGCATTCCAAGCTTAATGCTGTTTGTGGGCAAAACATATAGGGATTGTGTCGTATCTGAATGATAAGTTAACGGCACTAGAAAGAAAAGTGAATGGCACTATTTCACGTGCAGCAATTTTGCAGACGACACATTTGTGTCATATGTGTTTTGCGAGTTTGAGTCATTCAAATGCTATGTGAGATCAAAATGTTAATGATACGTCTATTTCTGAGAGTTACATGTATGTTAATAACAGTAGAGTGAAAAAACTTGAATAGCACACTTTCAGGAATTTGCAGACGACACATTTGAGTCATATGTGTTTCGCGAGTTTAAGTTATTCAGATGTTATTTGAGATCAAGATGTTAAGATTCGTCTGTTTCTGCGAGACATGTGAGTAACAGCAGAATGAATATTGAATGGTACAATAACAGGATTT